CGTCGCGTTATCGCCTGTTTCGGCTCTCAGAGGACCATGACGGCCCAAGCAGCCTCCAGGAAGACCCCAAGACGGCCAAAAAGGCCCCCAAAGGGGCCCCAGGATTGCTCCAGAGGGCCCCGAGACGGCCAAAAGAGGCTCCCAAGACGGTCCAAGGGGCCCCCAAGACGGCCCAAGAAGACTCCAAGAGAGCCCTCAGGTTGCCGCGAGAGGCCTCCAAGATGGCCTCCGAAAGGGCCAGACGGCGCAAGAGCGCCCCAAGCCGGCGCAAGACGTCAACAAGAAGCAGCAAAAGGCCCCAAAGCGGCCCCAATGACGCTCCAAGAAGCCCCCCACGAGACTTTCAAGAGGCTCCCAAGAGCCCCACATAAGGCCGCCCAGAAGCCCTGGGGATTGCAGGACGGAGTGGCACGCACACGCGGCAGCCGAGCAGGTCACGCCAACCAACGCCCACACCTTCCACATTTGAGCACTTTTCCACAGCGGCGATTACCAGTCTAGATCGGCTGCGCGGCGGCAAATCTGCCCGCCAGCAAGCGGGGCAGAGCAAGTCTGCTTTGTCACGCTGGGAGCTGTGCGCCGCTTCTCGCATAAACACTGCCGAGCATCGCGTGCTTTTTTAACCCTGGCACAGAGGCCCATGACGGCCCAAGCAGCCTCCAAAATGGCCCCAAGACGGCCCAAGAAGCATTCAAAAGGCCTCCATGACGGCCCCAGCGGGCCCTAAGACGGCCCAACTCAAGAGGACTCCAAGAAAGCCCCAAAACGGCCGCGAGAGGCCCCCAGACTGGCCTCCGAATGGGCCACACGCCGCGAACGCCCCAAGACGACCCAAGACGCCCCCAAGAGGCCCCAAGAGGCCCCAAAGAATCCCAGTGCAGAAGAGGCCCCAAGAAGCCCCAAAAACACTTTCAAGAGGCCACAAAGAAGCTCCCAAGAAGCCTCGCAACGACTGGACTGTACGTGCTCCGGACGTGCACCCCGCGAAGCGAGAGGAATCACATGGACGTTCGGACACAAGGGCGATTCCCATAGGCAGGGGGCGGCGGTGATTCGCCGTAGCAGTCTTCGACAAGGACGACGACGACGAACGCGAGAGGACGGCCTCGAAGTCGAGGGGCTCGACGGGCTTCAGGACCTCGGCGAGCCTCTCCTCGCGGGTCGCACGGGGGGGAGCGCCATCGCACGCCTCGGCCTTCTTGCTGCTCGTGGCAACTCCTGTTCCTGCTCCTTCTGTTTTAGCTTATTTCTTGTGCTGCTGCCTCTCCTCCTCCTCCTCCTCCTCCTCCTCCTCCTCCTCCTCCTCCTCCTCCTCCTACCCCATCCAACCTGCCCCCCTTTCCTCCTCCTCGTGGTCCTCCCCCTCTCCCTGTTGCCCTCCATTCCTCTCCTCCTCCTCCTCCTCCTTCTCCTCCTTCTCCTCCTTCTCCTCCTCCTCCTCCTCCGCCTCCTCCCCCATCCAAACTGCCCCCCATTCCTCCTCCTCGTGGTCCTCCCCCTCTCCCTGTTGCCCTCCCATTCCTTTCCTCCTCCTCCTCCTCCTCCTCCTGCTCTTCCCCCTCCCTGCTGTCCCCTTCCTCGTTCCTCCTCCTTTCTCTCTCCTCCTCCTCCTCCTCCTCCTCCTCCTCCTCTCCTCTCCTCCGTCCCCCTCCTCCTCCTCCTCCACTCCTCCCCTCCTCCTCCTCCTCCTCCTCGTCCTCGTCCCCCTCCCCCTCCTCCTCCTCCTTCTCCTCCTCCTCCTCCTCCTCCTTCTCCGCCTCCTCCTCCTCTTTCTTCTTGTTTTTCTCCTTCTCCGCCTCTTTCTTCCTCCTCCTCCTCTCCTGCCCTGTTGCCCCCATTGCTCCTTTCGTCTTTCTTCTCCTGCTCTCAGCCCCACCTCTTCGACAAAATTCTCTCCCTGGATGGTTTTTGTTCTGGGCCCCGGGGCCCGAAATCAGCCCCTTCCAGGGCCCAAGTGAAGAAAGAGAAATACGCCAGCAGTATTGTCAGATTGTGTCTTCGAGAAGCCTGGGCTCCACCCCCCCACGCCTTCCCCGCCTCCCGCTCTCGAGTGCCACTTTCTCCCGCTCACGGCCGCTCTTCTCCAGACGACTTCGGCCAACCTGCGGAGCACAGCCCACACGTCGGATCTTGATGTCCCAGTCGCCCCAGCCAGCCTCAACAGGCCCCCCCGCGCAGACAAGGGCGGTGCGCCCCAGGGGGGCCGCGGGAGGCGGCGCCGGGGTGCTGAGGCCGCCCTGGGCTACGGTGAGGGCGTTGAGTAAGGAAACCTTCGATAAGGACTCCAGGGTCTGGAAGCCAGTGGAAAGCCAAGCCCTGCATGTCACCGCCGCCCTCATCAGACGAGGAACCCTCCAGGGTCTGAAGCCTCCTGGGCACGCTCCTGAGCGAACGCCCCCGCCGCACCTGGGGGGCCTGCCGAGGCCAGCTGGGGCTGCCCGGGAGGCCTGTGGAGGCAAGCCGGGACTCCCTGGGGGGGGGGGGCCCGTGTGCGCCGCCCGAAGCCTTCCGTTCCCTGCCCCCTCCCCCGCGACCGAGCCGACCCCGCCGGGCAGCTCCGGGCAGCTCGGGGCCGCGGGCCGGGACGTCCTGGGCGAGGGGCGGCAGCCCCGCGAGGAAGCCGTGGGCGAGGGCGCCCTCCACGCCGACGCGGCGCTGCGGCGAGAAGCGAAGCAGCCTCGGCCGCGCGCCGCCTCTCCGTGGGGCCACCGTGGCGGTGCTCCCTCCAGGTCAGGTGGGATCATAATCAACCACAAGGGTGGAGTGCAACGGCGAAAGGCGCAGCCATACATATATACATATATACACACATATCTATATGCAGACGTAATTGTGTACGTACATCTAAATATGTAACTCTGTAGACGTGCGCAATTTTACACACCTATGTATATATACATTTATGCATACGTATGACTGTATGCATACAGCGCGGGTACTGTTTGGACCGGTAAGCCATTGTAACTAATGAAACGTACGGCTAACATCAAAAGTAATAACGACATATCGTGGCTTGCCTCAATGGCTCATCCCTGACGCTGGCCTTTGATTACGATCGTGTTGGGAAATCGCAGCGGGCTTTCTCGCTCCGCGTCGTGCCCATGGGGCCCCCGCACGGGTCGATCTGGCCCGAGAGAACGCCGCGGACAGATGGGGTCGCGAGCGCTGGTCGTGACTGGCTCACAGAGCTTTACAATCGAAACGCTGTCAGAAGGAACCCAAAATAAGGAAGGAGGCCACTTTTTCCATCAGTTAAACTTCGACTTCCCCTAAAAAACCTCGGGACAAACTAAGACAAACTGTAACACAATTAAGGAACACTGAGCCCCTCCCCAACGAAAAAGGTTCCTTCTCAGCGGGTGTAAAACAAGGGCGTGGACGGCCTCTCCAGACTGCTGGAGAGGCATGGAAGCAAGGAGCCTCCACCGAACGCCTCATCCTCCTCCTATTTCTCCTCTCCCGCCCTCCTCACCCCCCTGGTCTCCCCCGTCGCTGTGGTGCTGAGCCCGGAGATCGGCCTCCTGGTCCGATCCGAAGCAGATAAGGGAGCGGCCTCTCGAGGAGGTCCAGAGCCTCGGGCGGGCAGGGGGCGGAGATGGACCTTGACACCTGGGAGTCTCCAGTGCAGCCCAGGCCCATAAGACCACAGCAGGAGGGAAACGGACGAGGGGGGGGGAAGAGCGAGACTCTTCACGTGCGAGCCCGCGGTGTGATGTATGTAACAACGGGGCTGGCACAGGCACTGTAGAGCCACTACTGCAAACAACAATCCCATCCAATACATCGAACGAAAACAACATCACTCTCGCCCGGGTCACGAAAAGAAAATCAATGATCCCATCGCCCTAGAAAAACTATGTGGCACCCCACAGTTGCCGATACTAGTGAGTGGGCGTGCGTGTCGTGGGTCGCGGGTGAGTCGCTGGGTGGGTCGCGGGTGGGTCGCGTGCGGGTCGCGGGTGGGTAGCGAGTTGGTCACGGGCTGGGTCGCGAGTGGGACGACGACGACAACAACAAACTACAACAATCATTTTCAGACATTAAACACGTATATCCCGAACCCTCGGTACCACCCTCTTCGTCTTCGATCGTGCCCCCTTGGGGGTATATCTTCCTTACCTGATGCAAATGTAGCGCAGCCCCTAGAACAAGGAAAGACAGGACGGATGGAAGGGGGAGGGAGAAGGATGGAGCACGAGAGAGATTAGCAGGGGGGGAACTAGGAGCAGACATCACGTGGCATAATCAGGCGGGCAAACCGGGCGGGTAGACCCTAACAGGCGGGTCGGGAAGGCGGGCCCAGGCGGCCAGGTCGAGCAGGCAGGTTGCTGAAGCTTGAGTCCTGCATGCATCGCCAGGAAGTCTCGAGCGATAGCGCGATTCCCAAGTAAACTGCGAGAAAGGCCAAAGCGAGAGCGCGATTCCTGAATGTCGATGGCGCGGCGTTTGAATAAATTGCAAGGAAGTCCCACGCGGGAGTGCGATTCCTGCAAATTGTGAGAAAGTCCCGCGCGAGAGCTGCGAATTCGAAATGCATAACGGTGAAGGATCAGGCGGGAGACATGGTTGTTGTAAGTCGGGGCCAGGGGCTCAATCTGAGCCGCAAGACTTCCCCTTGTAAAAAACATGGTGCGAGCCCCAGACGGAGCACTTTAATCTTGCCATCGCTCAGGCGTTCATTCCAAATGTTTTTTTTATTTCGTGCGTGTTTTTTTCCGCAAGAAGATCCAATATCCTCCTCGATTGTCCTGGCCAAGAAAAAAAGTACACGTGCGAGCGATGCCAAGTAATTGAACAATAACATACTTGGCACTGGGGCGATCCATAACCATTTGTAGAAATGAAAATTAGACAAACATAGCGGCAACAGCAACAACAACATCAGCAACAGCAATCATCTTAAGACTGCTCGGTCTTATCTGCTCGCAGGCCAATCAACACGTATGTCCCAAACCCTCAATACCCGCCCTCTTCGTATTCTATCGTACTTGGGGGTATACATCTTTCTTATCTGCTGCGTACGTGTCGTGCAGCCCCTGAGGGGGGGGGGGGAAGAGAGGACGGATGGAAGGAAGGGACAAGGGGGAGAGAGGAAGATGGAACACGATAGAGAGAGAGAGAGAGAGAGCGAGAGAGAGAGAGAGAGAGCAGCAAGGGCTAGGAGCAGAAAACACATAACTGGCGGGTCGGAAGGCGGGCCCAGGCGGCCAGGTCGAGCATGCGGGTTGCTGAAGCGAGCGTCCTGCGTGAAACGCGAGGAAGTCTCGCGATAACGTAATAAACCGTCAGGAAATCCAAAGCGAGAACGTGATTCCTGAGTGTCGATGGCGCGGCGTCAGAATAAATTGCTAGGAAATCCCACGCGAGAGCGCGATTCCTGTATCAATTGTGGGAAAGTCCCGTGCGAGAGCGCGAATTGGGAATCCATTGTGAGGAACTATCAGGCGGGAACCGTTGTTGTTGTAAACCCGGGGCTTGGGGCACAGTTGGGTGACACCTCAGTTGCCTTTGTAAAAGCAGGGTGCGAGCACTGGGAGCGGGAGGAACACTGTAATGGAACAAATGCAATGGCTACCGCAGAGGGAAGATCAACAATACCTAAATTTGAGAACTGAGAACTCAATCACATCACCACCACCAACAACAACCACCACACCAACACCAACAACAACACCATCATCAACACCAACAACAATCATGTTGAGACTGTTCGCTCATATTGGCTCAGGTGCCACTCGACACGTATATCCAGATCCTCGATGCCCGCCCTCTTCGTCTTCGATCGTGCCCCCTTGGGGGTATACATCTTTCCTATATGCTGCGTATGTGTCGTGCAGCCCCTGAAGCATGGAAAGAGAGGAAGGATGGACGGAAGGGACAACGGGGAGGGAGGAGGATGGAAGACGAGAGAGAGAAAGAGAGAGAGAGAGAGAGAGAGATTAACAGGAGGGAGGCTCGGAAGAGAAAACAAGTGGCAGAACCAGACGGGCAAATCGGGCAAATAGACCCTAACGGGCGGGTTAGCGCGATTCCCGAACACATCGTGAGGACATCCACAGCGGGAGCGTGATTCCTGAGTGTCGTGGGCGCGGCGTTTGAACTAATTGCCAAAAAAACGCACGCGAGGGCTCGATTCCTGCATACATTGGGAAGCGTCCCGCGCGAGAGCGCGATCTGGGACGACATTGAGAAAATATCAGGCGGGAGCCGTTGTTGATGTTGAGCTCTCATTTCTGAACAAAAACTATTGTTGATCCCCCCCTGTCTGGTGCATATTTTTTTCTCGATTGAAAAGCCCTTCCCGGGGCTCGCACCCTAAAAAAATCAGGGAATGTCTTGAAGTCAAACTGTGTCGTTTGCCCCCGGGTTACAACAACAACAACGGCTCCCGCCTGAGACTTCCTCACAATTTAGCCAGGACCCCCGCTCCCGCCCGAGACTTCCTCGCATTTGATTCAGGAATCGCAATCTCGCTTGGGATTTCCTAGCGATTTATTCCAGAATCGCTCTCCCGGCGCTCTGGAGTCGCGCTCTCGCTGGGGATTTGCTTGCAATTTACTGAAGAATAGCGCCCTTGCGTTGGCAGTTCTGGCAATTTACTCAAACGCCGCGCTCCTGACACCCAGGCACCCAGGAGTCGCGCTCACGTTTAGGACTCCCTCACAGATTACCTAAGAATCGGAATCTCGCTGCCCTTCGTGGCCCCGTTGCAGCCCTTCGTGGCCCCCTCGCTGCCCTTCGCGGCCCCGTTGCAGCCCTTCGTGGCCCCCTCGCTGCCCTTCGCGGCCCCGTTGCAGCCCCTCGTGGCTTCTTCGCTGCCCTTCGTGGCCCTGTTGCAGCCCTTCGTGGCCCCCTCGCTTTGTTTCGTGGCCCCGTTGTCGCCCTTCGTGGCCCCCTCGCTGCCCTTCGTGGCCCCGTCGCAGCCCTTCGTGGCCCCGTTGCAGCCCTTCGCGGCCCCCTCGCTGCCCCTCGTGGCCCCCTCGCTGCTTTTGGTGGCCCCATATATGTATGCCCTTCGTGGCCCCCGCTCGTTCGCGCCCGTGGTGGCCCCATGCGCATGCCCTTCGTGGCCCCGCTGTCGCCCTTCGTGGCCCCCTCGCTGCCCTTTGTGGCCCCGTTGCTGCCCTCAGTGGCCCCATCCTTGCCTCCCGCGGCCCAGTATACGTATGCCCTTCGTGGCCCCCGTTCGTTCGCGCCCGTTGTGGTCCCATGTGCATGCCCTTCGTGGCCCCGCTGTCGCCGTTTGTGGCCTCCTCACTGTCCTGCGTGGCCCAGTTGCTACCTTCAGTGGCCCCGTCGTTGCCTTCTGTGGCCCCGCATGATCTGCCCTTCGTGGCCCCCGATCGTTCGAGCCCGTCGTGGCCCCATGCGCATGCCCTTCGTGGCCCCGTTGTCGCCCTTCGTGGCCCCCTTCCTGCCCTTCGTGGCCCCGCTGTCGCCCCTCGTGGCCCCCTCGCTGTCCTTCGTGGCCCCGTCGCAGCCCTTCGTGGCCCCGTTGCAGCCCTTCGCGGCCCCCTCGCTGCCCCTTGTGGCCCCCTCGCTGCTTTTGGTGGCCCCATATATGTATGCCCTTCGTGGCCCCTGCTCGTTCGCGCCCGTGGAGGCCCCATATGCATGCCCTTCGTGGCCCCGCTGTCGCCCTTCGTGGCCCCCTCGCTGCCCTTTGTGGCCCCGTTGCTGCCCTCAGTGGCCCCATCCTTGCCTCCCGCGGCCCAGTATACGTATGCCCTTCGTGGCCCCCGTTCGTTCGCGCCCGTTGTGGTCCCATGTGCATGCCCTTCGTGGCCCCGCTGTCGCCGTTTGTGGCCTCCTCACTGTCCTGCGTGGCCCAGTTGCTGCCTTCAGTGGCCCCGTCGTTGCCTTCTGTGGCCCCGCATGATCTGCCCTTCGTGGCCCCCGATCGTTCGAGCCCGTCGTGGCCCCATGCGCATGCCCTTCGTGGCCCCGTTGTCGCCCTTCGTGGCCCCCTTCCTGCCCTTCGTGGCCCCGCTGTCGCCCCTCGTGGCCCCCTCGCTGCCCTCCGTGGCCCCGTTGGTGCCCTGAGTGGCCCCGTCCTTGCCATCCGCGGCCCAGTATACGTCTGCCCTTCGTGGCCCCCACTCGTTCGCCCTCTTCGTGGCCCCATATGCATTCCCTTCGTGTCCCCGCTGTCGCCCTTCGTGGCCTATTTCGTGTCCTTGTGGCCCTGCTGTCGTTCTCTCTCGCTCTCGCTTTCGCTCGTCGTCGTCGTCGTGGCCGTCGTCGTCGTCGTCGCCGTTGTCGTCGACGTCGTCGTCGTCGTCTTTGTGGTCGGTCGCCTGTCCGTTCCTCGTAGGGTCGGGTCGACGGTCCGCGGCCGCCCCGCCGCTTGCAAGGGCCCGGCCTGCAGGGAAGAAAAGTATAATACCCCACAATAGGGGTTCGATCGAAGACGAAGAGGGCGGGTATCGAGGGTTTGGGAAATACGCGTTATTGGACACGCGAGCAAATATGGGCGAACAATCTTAAAATTATTGCTGTTGTTGTAAACCGGGGGCCAAGCCGCTGTGAAATAATACAAGAGATTCTTCCACGGTAGAGGCTGCAATACCGGAAGGAGTGGCGGCAAGGCAGGAAGCAAGTCGACCTACGGTCGAGGCAAGACATCCGAGCTGGCAACAAGATTCCCAAACTACTGCATCTGTGAACGATGCGGGACATCAAGCCGCAAGGAGCCACAGCGCTCAAACACGCCTAAACGAGCTCGCGCACCTCACCAGTGTGTCTTCCTCCTCCTCCTGCTTCTCCTGCTCCCCCTCCTCCTCCTCCTCCTGCTCGTCCTCCTCCTCCTCCTTAGCCAATGAATGTGGCCCGACGGCCAGCGCGGGATTCTCGGCAACTTTGACATCGGCGACCAGCGCAGCTGCGCCGGCAGCGAGGCTGCGATGGCAGCGACCTGCTCAGGACGTTGGCTCCGCTCACAATGACAAAAGAACAGCACACATCCATACCCATAGGGGGGACGGAGGGGGCTATGAGTGCGTGTTGTCGGATGGGGGTCCCCGCTCGAACGGGAGCCTCCCCAGCGGTCCGACAACCAGCACCCATACCCATAGCCAATCCTCCTCCCTCCGACCCTCATATGGATATGGGTGTGTGTTGTTCGTTCGTCACACAAGGTCAGCGAGAGCTGGTGGAAGTAGCTGCGGTCGGAAACATGGTGAAGCCAAGCCAGCAGAGCTGGCAGAAGAGATCGTAGCAACGAGACGGAACAAAAAACACAGGCAAGGCGCCCGTGATAATTTCAAGTGCAAGTCTTCAGGCTGTAATCCGTGCCAGACAAGATATGCTTCTTGCCGGGGCGCTAGACGTCATGGTCAACCAGCGCGTCGGCGACGGCATGGGAACGGATCTCAGCAAGAACCCTGCCGAGATCGAGGGCTAGATGGACAACAAACTCGGCTCAAAGTGGACGGAGCAGTCATTACTGGGCTCAGAACCAACTCACTTGAGTACAACAAGATGCGAGACTCATTGGTACATTGGTAACAATTTGGCCGGCACGGGAATGGATGAGTGCGACCCACCGGTCCCGTTCAAATAATCAATGGTGCATTCCTGGTGCGAAGAATGGCGGACTTTTAACCAGAGATCCAACCGCCAGCCGGTGAAACTCAAGGGGTGCTTGTGTCGAATGAGTTGTCCAGAAACTGTTCTCCCCTTGCAGATCTCGAGGGAGAGGTCATCACGATGGCAAGCTGTGGAGTATTCGCGCGCAGCCGAGGTGGTTCGCGCGCAGCCGAGGTGGATTTCAACATTAGCCATCATTGAACGAGCCTGTGAACACGAGCGACGGACTGGCCATCGCTCGGACGTCCATTCCCTGTGTTTTTTTTCGGTTTCGTGCGTGGTTTTTTCGCCAAATGATCAAGGATGCTCCTCGATGGTCCTCGCCGAAGGAGACATGCACACGTCCGAGCGATGCCAAGCGGAAAGCTGATGAAGGATGCGAAGTGGATTCTGCATCTCGTGGGGCCTGTTCGCGCTGATGGGGCTGCGCGCGGGCGCGTCGACGGCGAAGACTGACCGACCCAAAGCACGTGGAGACGCCTTCAGCGGGGCGGTGACGCAGAGGCTGGAGGCGCGCAGAATGCGCATGATTTCAAAAAGAGAACCATTTTGTTCAGACTCTCCCACTCACGTAATGTGCATCATGACCATTGCTTTGTGGCTTACTATGTCACGAAGCCTTCTGCATCAAGCGAAGGAGGTTTGAACACGGTTGAGGGTTTTGAGATCATGATACTTGTGGGATGCTGTAGATCTCGTGCGAGACGGGTGGTGGAACATCGATGAGACACGGCTGGATATGGTTGGCTGGCCAGCGGTAGTGATGCTGAGTGGCGCTGTGATTTAGTCGGACCGTTTTTTCGGGCACGTACACGCGCTGCAGTTGAGACAGCGTGTTAATATTGGAACCCGCTGTGTTGAACATGTACCACCTCTGCGGACATAAGCACGGTATAACACACAACAATCACGTGCAACGAACAAAGCATGTCCTTGACACACGTCTGGGAGTTGGGTAATCCGTGCAGTCGTCATGGCTCAGAAAACGATGTGGCATGATCCCATCGCCTTGTCAGGAGGAGGACCAGCGACCCCCCAGCCGCCCCCGTGCGAGGGCATTGGAGGAGAATGGGGTACAATCGGAAATGGGCCAGAACAACATCCCTCAAGAACCCGGCACCCTCCGCCAGCCAAAACACATGGAACATCCAAGGGTGTCCTCCCCAGGGTGCACAAGAACATCCAACAAGCACGAAATACATTAGGATACCCTCCCCGAACAGACCTCGATCTCATACCTCGGTCCGACAACAGGGTGGGTGGGAACAAAGGGGAGATAGACGCACTGGCGGAGTAGGAGGAGCAAGCTGGGGTGTGACGGAGAGTGGGGCTCAAGCTGGACCCCCCTTTCGAACACCCGCGGCCTCTTCTGACGACGTGGGGAACAGATGCGCCAGATTGGCGGGCTTCTGGTGCGGGAAGGATCGCAAGTACCTCAGCGCGGGGCGAGTGGAGCCCTGGGGCATCTATGGGAATGATCCACGCCCGCGATGCGAACCAGTGATCTGCCGATCCGCATGCTTCTCTGGAGCGCAAGCTGGTCCAAATGCTTCGACGGGTCTGTATTTGCGGCGTGCACATCGATCGTCTGCGCGCGGTCATCTCCGACGAGGTCGATCGCCGTGAGGAATGGTCATCGCGTCCATCGTCGCGTACCTCCACCTCCTCCTCCTCCTCCTCCTCCTCGTCCTCCTCCTCCCCCTCCTGCCCCCTACTTGTCCTTCCCCCTACGTGCTTGCCCTCCCACTCGCGCCACGAATCCAATCTGCTCGCATCGAGGCTGGGTCAGGTCCAGGTCGAACCCTCCCCCTTCTCTCCCTCCTCGTCCCCCTCCTTTTCTCAAAGTCGTGACGGCGACTTGGCGTTAGGTCGGGCGTGTCCTCCTACAGGCGGATTTTGGACGAAGAATTTAAAATAGTCAAGACATGCACCAAACATGTTCAAACATACTCGAAAAATCGTCCCCAGGCTATTTGCGGACTATTTTTCAATTTTCCACCTGTAGAGGAACATGCCCGACTTAAGCTTGGTGCCCATGGGCCGTCATAAAGGCCTGGGCTTATGTTGCATCCATAGTACTCAAGGACCACATCCCAGAAATGATTTCGAACACCCGAACAGTATCGAAACAGTGTCGAACGAGTATCGCCTCCCAGGGCCCGACACGTGAAAAACCTACAGTTTCGGTGCTTTCTGGGTGCTCGAAGTTCTTCCTGGTGATCAAGGCTAAACTAGGTTGGAACATCATAAGCCTGGAAATTCGCCAGGGCCATTTTCAGCACTGCCTGGGCGTTGCGCAAGGCCAGAGCGTGGCCGAGCATCGCCCGCTACATCGCTACACCGCTGCTGCTCTGCACTGCTTAAAAAGAATGGATTTCCGCCTCGGTTCCAACTTTGCTGTAGGCCGCACTGGTCCGCCTCCTCCCTCCTCCTCTCCTCCTCCTCCTCCTCCTGCTCCTCCTCCTCCTCCTCCTGCTCCTCCTCCTCCTCCTCCTCCTCCTCCTCCCCCTCCTCCTCCTCCTCCTGCTCCTCCTCCTCCTCCTGCACCTCCTCCTCCTCTTCCTCCTCCTCCTCCTCCTCCTCCTCCTCGGGCAGGCATTGGCTCGGACTCCCCAGGACATCTGATGAAGTCCTGCGCCTTCCTCTTCACAGCCCGAGGAGGTCTCTGGCACTCCTTGGCTGCCCTGCTCTCGGAGGATAGCGTGCCGGTGCCCTCTTCCCCTCGCCCTCTCGCCTCCCCTGGGTGTCCTGGGGCGCCCTTTGCGCCACGGGCGCCGCAGATCCGAGACGCGCAGTCCGAGGGGCGATGGGGGCGAAGGGCGCCGAGGCGGGGGCCTGCGGGCGGTCTTCGCGATCACGCCGCCGGCGCTGCTCACGATCTCGTCCACCTCCTCCTCGGACGGGCTGCCAACCTGACGCAGCCCAGAGGAGGAGGACGAGGCCATGATGGGGGTTGGGGGGAGGAGGGGCGAGGATGAGGAGGATGGGGCCAATGATGTGTGAAGCACGTGTGAGGAGGTTCAGGGATCCCCTGGGATGGGGGGGCGGGGGGAGGGAAAAGCCACGTGAGCCCGCCTATGCGCGGCTACTCTTGTCTCAGGCACAAACATTGTCCCCAGAATGTTCCGGGGAATGTCCACCGGAACGTTTTGAGCACAGTCCAGACCAGGGTGGAGAGGAGGAGGAGGAGGAGGAGGAGGAGGACGAGGGAGGAGGAGGAGGAGGAGGAGGAGGAGGAGGAGGAGGAGGAGGAGGGAGGAGGGAGGAGGGAGGAGGAGGAGAGGAGGAGGAGGGGAGGAGGAGGAGAGGAGGAGGAGGAGACGGAGGAGGGGAGGAGGAGGAGGAGAGGAGGAGGAGGAAGAGGAGGAGGAGGAGGAGGAGGAGGAGGAGGAGGAGGACGCGAGCACAGAGCGGGAACGCATGACGAGGCGACAGGGGAGAGGACACCCAAGGAGAGGCTGCACTGGCACAAGGAGGGCAGGCCAGCCCCGTGGGCAGCAGCTTCGGATAATGCCACGAAGGGTGCGCTGCCGAGCGAAGGAGGATAACGTTACAGTAGGGACATACGAGGACATGTGTATATTCAGATGTGTAGGCACACATGTATGCATATGGTTATGTGCATATGTGTGTATACGTTAAGGTAAGTGGACACGCACACATTTGTATATTCACATGTGCATGCAGGGCCATGCGTATCTATACGTACATGTACATGCTTATGCATATGTCGATGTATATGTATATGAATACATACAGACGTATATCGGTAGGTATGTATGTGTATGTGACTTGTATACACATACACGATTCTGCACATACATGTGTACACCCATATGCACGTACACACATAGTTACACATGTGCATGCGTACGTTTGTGTCTACATATGTCTACAGAGAGATGGTACATCATATGTATATGTATGTGCAATCGCAGAAACACAGGAACCTGTATATGCATAGAAATATGAGAGTATATTTGCAATCATGCAAATATCTGCTAACATGGATACGTGCACATGGATACATGCACATCTTATATATAGATTCACACACATATATATATATCTCGGAGGTGAGGGGGTGAGATCGAAGTGGAACGGAGAGCCCCCCTACCCGGAAATCGATTTCGGTTTCGTGTTCGTGCGTGCCGTGCGCGCGGGCGAGGCGAAGCTGCGTGGGCGGGCGAGAGGAAAGTCTCCTGTGGCTGAGGCGCGGCTGGACCAAATGTGTCTCTTCCGGGCGGCCGGTGGCGCGCGGTGTCCCGCCGGTGTCCCGCTGGTGTCCCGTCGGTGTCCCTGTGGCTGAGGCGTGGCCAGACCAAATGTGTCTCTTCCGGGCGGCCGGTGGCGCGCGGTGTCCCGCCGGTGTCCCGCTGGTGTCCCGTCGGTGTCCCATCGATTGTAATATCGATAGTGAGATCGACTGTGAGATCGAAAATGAGATCGATTGTGAGATCGATAGTGAGACCGAATGTGAAACCGAATGTGAGATCGATCGTGAGATCGATTGTGAGATCGATAGTGAGATGGATAGTGAGACCGAATGTGAGACCGAATGTGAGATCGACTGTGAGATCGATTGTGAGATCGATAGTGAGATCGACAGTGAGACCGAATGTGAGACCGAATGTGAGATCGATTGTGAGATCGATTGTGAGATCGATAGTGAGATCGATAGCGGGATCGATAGTGATATCGATAGTGAGATCGAATGTGAGATCGATTGTGAAATCGATAGCGAGATCGATTGAGTGAGACGTTGGTTCCCCCTCCCCCATCACCTCCTTATCACCCGCAGGGTGGTCGTATAGGTATATATATATATATATATATATATATATATCCATTCAAATAAATCCGTAAGGAGCTTTGTGGGTTTGCGTGGGCCCCCGGCTCCCCGAGCCGCCCCAGAGAGCCCGAAGGCGCCTGGAGGGCCCCGAAACGGCACTGGAGCTCCCCAGAAGAGCCCCGACACGGCCCAAAGAGGCCCCGAGGCGAACAAAGACAGCCCCGAAATGGCCCAAGACCGCCCTCAGACGGCCTACGATGCTCCCAAGACGGCCCCATAAGCCACCAAGACGCCACAGGACGGCTCCGAGCGGACACTCTCGGGGGGCCCGAGAAGCCGAAATCGTAGATTTTCCGTGGGTTTCCTTCGGATTCTGAAATTCTCGCGCTCTCCACCGTCTGGGCCCCCCAAACGGCCCAAGAGGCCTCCAGGATCGCCCCGAGACGGCCCAAGAGGAGGCCAAGAAAGCCCCAAGACAGCCCCAGACGGGCCCAAGGGGGGCCCAAGAGGCCCCCAAGACGGCCCAATAGACCCCCATGCGGCCCCCAAGACAGCCCAACAAGCTCCCAAGAGGCCACCAAGACAGGCCAAGAGGGCCCCGAGCCTGCCCATGAGGGCCCCAAGACGGCCCAGAGGGCTTCACGCGCCCGAACAGAGCCCCAGGAGGACCCCCAAGAGGGCTTGAAGAGGCGAAAATCATCGATTCCACGTTGGTTGTCGATCGCGCACCGCAGCTTGCTGGCACTTGCGCGCGTGAAACAGAAGCGCGCGTCGGCAAATCTCGACTCACGCAGCTCCGTGGATTTAATCCACGGGCCCACACTGATCTCTCTTTCTATATATATATATATATATATATACACATGTATGTGTATATGTACATATACACATACACATCTATACACACATACATACCGCCACCGTGCCTCTGAGCACGGTGTGGGCGTGTCCTCAGGTTCTTTGCCTAATCCTCTAAGCCTCACTCCTCACTCCTGATAGTTTACGGGCCCGGAGCCCGAATCGCCAAATCTTTTTGGGCTTCTCGCGTGCTCCCTGGGTCTTGTCGCGTCTTCTCGCGTGATTTTTCTTCGGAACCAAATGGGGCCAGAGACAAGCCAAGAGGGCCCAGAGAGGCCCAAAGACGACCCCAAAGGACCCTGAGACACCAAAAGGTCGCACCAGCCCAAGATGGGCCCAAGACGGCCCATGACGCCCCCAGAGCCTCCAAGAGGTCCTCTTAAGAGGTCCCCAGTATTCAAAATCACTTATGTCCCCAAAAAATGTTTGAAGAATTTGGGCGTTCTCGCCTTACGCTCCAAGACGGCCCAAGATTCCCCCAAGACGGCCCAAGACGCTTCCAAGAGGGCCGTGCACTTTTTTACCATCGCAACGGAGCCCAGCGGCGAGAGGGGGAAGACGACGGACGACGACGACGAGAGGAGGGAAAGGGGGGGCGAGGGAGCAGCGTCCGCGCCCGCCCGGCGCCGCCCGCCTCAGTCAGGCGGGCCAGGGCGCGCGGCCAGCCAGTCCCTGAGGACGGCGCGCCAGGCCGCCTCGTTGCCGCCGGCGCGCTTTTCTGGTAGCCACAGCAGCATGCCCGCGCGCGGCGGCCACGCAGGCACCCGCCCGCCGCACGGGCGGCAAGCCAGCAGCGGCCACGTCGGTGCCCAGCACCCGCAGCGCACGCAGGCGACCCAGGCGGGGCCCTGGGACGCCGTGCGCGCCAGCCAGGCGCGGCCTGCGAAGAAGTCCCGCACCGCTGCGGCTGCCCCTGGGCGCGGCGCCGCCGCGGACGCTGGGGGGGCAGCCATCCCGCGCTGCGGCGGTGGCGCCGCGGCCGCAGCCACGGCGGCTGCGTCCCCGACGCGGGGAGCGCGCCTCCGGCGGTGCCCTGGCGCGGCCCAGCGTCGCCGCACCCTTGGCCCGCCCGGGCGGGGGCCGTGGTTCGCTTTGAGAGCGGCCAGTTCCACCGCCGCCGCCGCGCGCGGGAGCGCTTCGAGCGCGTCCAGCTGCTGCGCCCGCTGCTGGCGCAAGTCGAGGGGCGGGAGCTAGGTCCGCGCCCCAGCGTCGGCGAGCCTGTCCGCAGCTGCGTGGCCAGCCCAGTCCGCCTCGGCGATGCCGCGAGCGGCGGCTTCCGCCTGGTCCAAGTGGCCCTTGACCCAGCGGGCCCGCAGCAGCCCGCCGCGGGAGTGCGGCGCGATTGCTTCCCAAAGGTCAGCGCGCAGCCAGTTCGTCGCCCTCGCGCCGCCCCGAAGCGCGGCGACCCCGCGACTCGCGCATCGGGAATGCGCGACGACGTCAAGGGGCCCCATGCGAGGCTGCACGCCTGCACCGCGGCCCAAAGCTCGGCAAGCTGCGCGGTCTGCCGCCCGTCAGCCAGGCCGTGGCGGTCGACGCGCCCGACGGGAAGCCCCTCCAACCTCGCGCTCCATCCCGCGCGGGCGAGCAGGGGGCCCCCTGGGTGCAGGCAAGAGCCGTCGGTCCAGGCGCGGACCCGCCCGTGCGGCAGCTCCTCCGCGGCGGGGTCAGGGAGCGGCGGCAAGGGGGGCGCCTGCTGGGCCACGGCGGCGAGCGCGGCCAGGTGGGCGTCCAGGGGGGGCCCCGCTGTCCTCGCTGCTTCGGCTGGCAAGCAAGCGCGCGCAGCGGCTGGGGTGAAGCCGCTCGTCGCGAAAGCTGCGTGGCGCGTCGCTTGCCATCGCGGGCACGCCCGCGGCCTGTGTTCGAGATCCTCGACTCTGGCCCCGCAATGGGGGCACGCCTGCGGCCTCCCCCACTTGGCTGCTACGGACTCCGTGACCACATTGCCAGAAGTCACCGTCCGCAAAACGCCCGCAGCGTCGGGCGCTAGCTGCCCTGTCTCCAATGGCCGGCGAGTCGCCCAGCGATCCGCGCCTCCCGCGAAGTGCTAGTAGTCGGCCTGGCGCCTGGCGACTTCGCGGGCTTCCCGCCGACCCTGGGCCTCCAGCAGGACTGCGCGAGTGTCTGGGAGGGCGCGGGCGGCTGGGCGCCAGCTGTCGGGAGCCTCTGGGATGCCACTCCAGGCCTCGTTGTCGGCCCCCATCTGCAATTCAACCAAACTGCGGAGGGCGGCTGCGATCGGGCCGAAACGCCAGCCGTGCC